ATTCAGCGTTTCTTTTCAAGATTGCAATTTGTACACCTTCATCGTGTTATTTTCGGTTGGTTACCATTGAAGACTGACCTTCACAATGCTTCTCAACACTACTCGCTCTCCATGCAGCATGGCGGCCAGTGTCTAGTCTGGCTATTCAAGCGAAGTGGCCGTGCTGTGGTCACGGGGTTCGTTGTTCGTGTTGCGCAGAACGAGCAAAAACCGGTGCGCAGGAGGAACTCACCCACGTATTTCCACCATGATTTGTACTGCAACATTAGTGGATCGCAGATAAGATCGTTAAAATGCCACAAAAATAATGTTTGGTTCCACAGCCCAATTAGCACGGAACGCGATTCCAGCAAATCCAGGGATCGGTTCTCGTTGGGATCAAATATTGCCCTTGGTGACTCAATAGATTCAAACTAGTTGTTCTACAGAATTGCACATAATTTCGCCTGTGGGGCCCGCCCACCTCTACGCCATTTTCTCTCGCACTAGTTCACCAGGCCGGGACCCCTGCTATCGATAACCCACTGAGAAACAGGCCCTTGTCAGTTACTCTCTCGGTTATCGCCTAGATGCCGCTGTGATCCGTGAATCCATAGGGTATTGATGGCTAAAGATACTACAAAGTAGGAATGGTTGATAGATCGGTGGAATGCATGGTTAGGGGAAACGGAAGTCTCACAAAAAAATCTGCCGAATTCGCTTGGCCATCACAAAATTCACACGGAACAGCCTGGGATCGAACACAGACAGGCTCCAGCGGTGGAAAGCGCGCAGTCTGAAAACTACGCCACGAACCGCGACCTAGTAATATTCCTTAAATCTTCCTTACGTCTATGGCACCCTCATCTCAGCTGCTACCTACTAGCGCCTAAAACAAATTTTTTTCTTTAAGTTTTCGTATCCCTAACTGTAGAATTCAAATATGACTTTACGAATACTAGGGTGAGGTAATATCGACCTTGAAAATTTTCATTGAAAAATTTGAAGTCATTTTTAGGAATTAACGACATGACAGGTATTTCAAACAACATTATATTTGTGTATTTTAAAAAAAATAGCTGATATCGAAGTACCACGAAAAAAGTACAGCAAACAAGCGTACGAGACAAGACCAACGCAAGGAGAACTACGCAGATGAGATACCCGCGCCCTGTTGTTTGGTTACTTTAACCTTCCTTCCGCACACAGGGTCATTTTGTTCATTCCAGATCACATACGCACGTAGAGGAGAAAGTAAAACCGCTCGCGCCCCAAGCGGCCAGTGACGCAATCACGCTGCCGCGAGCGGAGGGGCCGGTTGAGTGGCCCGCTGTCGCCACGCACGATCTGCGCACGAGGCATGCGTGCCAGCACGCGTCCGGCACGCGCCTCCCCTCCGTCACGTGCCGTCACGCGCGCGCTCTCGGCACGCGGAGGGCCAGCCGCTACGGCAGCGCTGCTCGCTATGGCTCTGACAGACACACACGCGGATGAGCGGCGAGGCGCGCTAGACGATTACGGACTATTATGACTGTGTCCTGAAAGAGCCAACCACTGAGTCATTGATGTGCAACTTCTTTGATTGGTTCGTTGTTATTGATTCAACTACTAGCGTCACTAATCCCGTAAGTGTAGTGTACGGATTTGCTCGGGAGGCTAGCGGGGTTTTCCCCATCCAGGTATTCCCCGCCACATCACGGGACAAGCTCTAAGCTCCGGTCTTCCGGTATGTGTGACAGTGCAGTGCAAGAGTGTTTAAGTAAAGGGTAAGGATAGGACAAGAGGAACGAAAGATTGAGCGCGGTTTTGGCCCGTTTGTTAGGGTACTGTTCAGGCATTCGCCTGGTATTGATCGGAGAAATCAGGGAAAACTACCGATCAGAGCAGCCGGCTGATAGAATTCTCCTCTAGACAGTGACTGAACTCGACCTATCTTGCTAGAGTCGAAAATATAGCCGTCCTGCGACCACCCGGTCAGAAGTACCGCAGTTACCTCTGTCTCCTCGACAGACATCACTAGTATTACCCGTCAGCCTTCAAGTTCAAAGTTCCCTTTTAAGAAATTATATTCGACCTTTTTGTCACTATTAGTCCGTAACACTTCCGAGACAACCAGTACGTGTTTACTCAGAAACTTTAAGTTAAAACGGAACAAGAAAATATAGCCTGCATAAAAAAATCAATTCATCTGTCTCCTCTATGAATGATTTAATCTACTATTTTCCCCACCACTCTTTAGAAAGACTAATTACGCTTGTACAGTCCACTAAACTCGTAATGCACATCGTTGTGATAGACAATGAAAATTTTAAAATTAATAGACAATATACTTTATTAATGGTTAATATTATCAATATCCCACAGGCACACACAAGATGTCTTATATGAAATTAAACATCGAAATTGTTTGAGTTCACTTTATCCCTTATATCATAATTTATCCAATATATGTGTAGGAAGTATTCGCTTTCGGCTGGGAAGAAAGCCCTATGAAGAATGAAAATACATTTGAAGATTTACTCACCGTGAGTCATCAGCTCCACAGTTGGACAGCCGTCTTTCTGGTGAAGATAAATGAGCAATGGTTATGGTAAAAGTAATCAGATCACACTCTGCATTTCCACATAACTATTTTTCCGTACACCTGAAAAACGAAAAATGTCGTTATTGCTCTCCAATAAAATGAGGAAAATGTCTTTAATAGTAAGATCAGCGGCGCTTAAGTTCTCCACTCCCCTTCCAAATGACACATTTTAGCAAGAATAGCTTTTCTAGAATCTGTACTAACGAAAATCATACAATGTTTTTTGAATATGTTATAATAACTACAAATTGACAAGCAATCATGATGTTTAAACTTATCATAAGTGAACTGTTCTTAAATAAAGTTCAGAGCCTCCTGGTCAGGAGCATAAGTAAAACATGGTTGTTTACGACAAGTCCGCAGAGAGAGAGAGAAGAGAGGAGAGAAAGAGGAGAGGAGAGAGAGAGATGCGGAGGCGGATATCCCCCGCAAGCCAACGTCAATGCCGGAACCTACCTAATCAGGGCAGAACACCGCCACCTCCCGTGACAAAACACTCACTACACTCGCGGCTCCGATGATCACAGCAACTGACGTGTGCGAATACCATCAGTCAATCGCCCTTCCCCCTCTCTTGAACGTCGCTCCGCTTCACCCAGCGTCGCAGTCACTTCACTTCCCCTCACCCAGCGTCTCCCTCCCCCCTGTTGCCGTCCTGCGCTCGAAACCCCACCCGTGTGGTCGCTTGCAACAAACACGCAACACTCACCGCGCTGGGAACTCGGATTGACATGAGAGCTTACCATCTTCTTCAGCACCTTTTCAAACTCCCGTACTCATTTTTTCAGTGCTACGAAGCATTGCGAGGAGTGCGTTTGCGCCAATTAGTGCTGAGGCCATTCAGGACCTGTCCAAGCACGGAAGCCGTGCAGGTGTTGCGTGCGTGGCGCTGGCGCTATCAGCCTCTCTGCCAGCAGGCGGCCCTTTCCCTCAAATGGCAGGCGGGGTGAATAAGTCGGGTGCTTACGTACATGGAAGGTTAGAACAGGCGAAGAGGCCGACCACACGCTTCAATAATCAAAACACAATTATTGCAATTGATCCCGTAGAATGTTATCTCGACATGCGATAAATAAATACTTACATTTTACTTTTAGGCTTCAAACAAAATTTTCGGAATAATGGAGTCTAATAAAAAATGTCAATAGACTGTATAACAGAATGTCATCAGGTGCACAGTGTTCAACTTTCATTTGCAGTTTCCTTAAATAATTACATTGGTTTATGATAGCCTTACAACTGACTTCGGTAGAGTGATCAAGAACACGTGTCACTCTGCACTTCAAACAAAAAGAGACCGAGGAAAATGAGCTTTGCCATCAGTCGTGAAAAAACGAACGCGCTAGAAACCTAACACCGGTTGATAGACGTCTCGTAAGGTGTTCTGGCGAGGCGAAGCAAGATTACTCGCCGCGGGAGGCGTGGAGGTAACGTCTTGACGCAAAACGCCTCTAAAACACCATTTCTAATAATTCATAGCGCTTCAAAATTTGGATAGGTGGGTTTTGCATGGTGTTCTACCAGCCGGTGAAATTTTATGAGAATCCGAATATCCAGCTCGGCGAGTATTCGGTGCAAGAGGGACCGAGAACGAGGAAGGAAAGATCGCGCACGAGTCGTAGCCCGCTTTTCGCAGATTTCTCCGCCGTTCGCCTGGTGTTGATCGGAGAAACCTCGGGAAACTACCAACCAGAGCAGAATTCCCTTGCAGACAGCGGCTGAATTCGTCCCAGCTGCATATTTTACAGCAAGCTAGAAGAAATCTGCCACTGTGGGGGTCTTGAACTCAAGGACCTCCAGGTAAACAGCGAGGCATGGGCAACTGTTGTCACTGAGTTCTTCCAGCTTGAACGCACAGTTTGAGGCAAAGGCCACTGCCTAAGGTGTCATAAACGGAGAAAGAAAAGGAAAGATAGAACGAAAGAAAGGAGAAAAACAAACACAAAAACAGAGAGAGAGAAGAGAGAGAGAAAGTAAGGAAGGAATGAAATAACTTACCAAATCCATTTCTTCTCCCTGCAGCGCCATTGGAGGCAGCCAACATGTAGCCCCAGGCGAACAGCTGATGGCCGGAGCAGACCTGCAACACAAACGCCTCCCGACCGCCTCGGTACTTTGAAATTAAGGATAATCGAAACAAATGAATTTCACACACACGTAGAGAGTGAGTGAACCTCTTCAAAAAAGGGCATTTCTTTATATTTTACAGGTCGCCTTTTTTATGTTACGAAAAATATTAAACACCACATGACCAATATCACAAATAACATGTAAACGATCATGGCTGTCCAGGTGACGCCGCGTCGAAGGCTGTGTTGCCGACGTTTCGACCATCTTATCGTGGTCTTCTTCAGGGTTGGTCTCAATCCTAACATTTTTTCTACCTTCTAAATTTGCTTCTGATGTTCTGAAAATACATATTGTACATTGTTTACTTAATGCTAATATAAAAATTCTCATATTTCCTGCAAAAGAAAATCGAAAGTAATAGTTTCTTTACATCTTTCTTTAGTTCCTCTGAACATTCGATGGGATTCTTAACATTACAAAAAACTTACCACATTTCTACCTTCAGCGTTTGTTTCTGACGTTCTGAAAACACATTTTGAATACATTGTTCAGTTAAAGTACTAATTTTATTACGTCTAAAAGAAAATCGAAAGTCGATGTTTGTTTTTCATTCATCACTTGTTGTTTCAATACACATTCCAAGAAATCCTTAACTCTACAAAACATTTACCATTTTTATATTTTTAGGTTTGTTTACAATATTCTGAAAATAAATTTTGTATAAATTGTTTACTTGAAATTAATATTACTAATGTTTCTACATATACAAGAAAATATAAATTAATTACAATCGTAAATTATATAATTACGCATTTGACCCATTTCAGCATTGAGGTACATATTATAGTGCAGTTGCATTTTTACACAATATTCAACACCATATACTCTTTATTTACAAAATAACTTTAAATGTTCAATAATGTGCCGTAATATGTTTGAGGCACGACCAGAACTTTTTGCCCTGGTTGCTTACGTAAACTTCTCACGCTAAAATAACATCAATCAAAACACTTGGCGTCGTAAAACATTAAGGCTTCTTTTTCAGTATTTACCAGCATTGAGGTACAGATTAATCATTCATACAAACGTCATTCAACTCACACTTAACAAAAGCATTCACATCAAAATTCACACCTTATCCATCACAGCTATCAAACAAACTATAGATACTGCTGCAACACATTGTCAACAAGTCTCCTTTTTCTAAAGATCATCGAAGTCTCAAATACTGATGCAATACATTCTCAAAGAGAAACATGGACAGACTCCTATGAAGGAAATATAACAAATTGTTCTCCGAATCGTCGAAAAACTCACTCCAGTATGAGCATAAGACCTATGCAACGCATCACTTTGGAAGCATTAGATCATGTTCCCTTTGGTCGCAACCTTCTCATAAGTTTGGGTTCATCGCTATTATAAAATCTGCCAACTTTATCAGAAAATTGTGTCTCCTATGAAGGACCTGGACGTATTTCAGCCATTTATTCAGGAGTTTTCGAGAAGAAGAAAAAAACACTTGACTTGAACAGCACGTAGTTTCTATTTCGCGCCAGAAAAGATGTGTTTGGAATGTTGCCATCAGCGCTCGCAGCGACCTTTCACCTTCACCTGTTTACTGTTCAAGGGAGGGGGAAGGGGTTGGTGGGTCATCAGTCAAGAAAAGTTGCGCGCGTAATAGCACACCCCGACGAGGAGGCCGGATAAACACTGGAGGTTAGAGCTCGCGGTCGAGTGGCGGGGCCGGAACTTCCTCATGCGGCCGCGGCAGCGCGCCACGTGCGCCGAGCAAACAAACGCGCGTCACTTGTAGCAAACAAACGAGCGACGGACGGAAGCCACACGCACAGGAACGGGGCGTAGGGCGGCCACCTGCGCAAATGTGAAATTAGGGACACTTAACCCAAAAATGTCTACAAACACAAGGGACAGAACGGGAATAATTTAACGCCATTTTAGCTATTCAAAACTGAACATTTAAAAACCCAAAAACTACATTCTCATTACTTTTTAATAGAGCTTAAGCTCATTTTCTCGTTTAGTTAAGTTTCAGTTCTCGAGAATTTTACCTTCGTAAAACCCGGATCCTGGATCTCTCGGTATACACACATTTGCTCTAGCCCCTTGAGCAACTGAACTTATAGAGCGATTTTGGAATCGATATCCGACAGGGGTAGTTGATTCTTTGAACAAACATCATTCGCCACATTACTCCAGCTAAGTAACTGTTCGGACACAATGATGATTGCCTACTGCCAAACGGCAAACAGATTTGCACGCAATTGTACTGGAATTGTAAGGGATTAAATGGGTAACGTATTCCCACGTACTAACAGTCAGTCAGTCAATTAAGAATGAATATCAACAACAAGCGTTGTTAACAAAATATAATTACCAGAAATGTTCGCTCCTGTATCACAGAAACTATTTCGCATTACTAAGTTACACATTTGATAAAATATTCTTGCCGGCGAAACGAAGAAGTCCCCATTCCAATCGCCTCGCTAAATGAGGGCTCAAGAAAACGAGCGTGGAGCCAAGTGTAGACGTTCGCCAATTTCTCGCGGAAGAGAGTGGTTTAGGTTTCGTTCCGATAAGAGAGAAGCCAAAACCTCTTCGCCTCAGGACTTTGAATTCCAATAACACTAACACTACGCCACAGTGGAGACGAAATATCGTTACCAGACGACAGGGAGCGAAATCGTCCGTCTCCGTCTTTCATCCGAAAATCATACTCCGTCTCATAGATCCAACATCAAATACTTCGTTGGATTGCCAACGAAAGAAGATAATGTAGCATTGACGCACAAAACATTTATGTACAAGCGTGGGGTATATTTCATCATCCGGGAAAAATTAAATGTTAAAAAGTTTTATTTGGTGTCAGCAAGATTATAATAAAAATAAATTATCATATTTTAGTTGTCCGGTTTGTTTTTCCTTTTTTCGGACATTGAAAGTCAGATGAAAATGTATCGATTAAAATACTACATCAATTGTTTTGTTTCGTAACAAAATTAATTATCGTCAATGTGATGAACCAAGAAACGATTCACGTACAAGCCGAAAAGAGAGTATAGAAATCCACAAAGTTTCACCAATAAACAATAAATGCATTGCAACAATAAAAAGTGTCTATTTCTCTAGTTTTCTTCCTAAATATTCTAGAGTAAACTGGCTAATAATTGTGGCAACAGGCAATTTGTCTTGACAAGGAGTCGACTGAGCCACTGATCATGTCTGTAGATGATATTCGGTTGTAATCCATAACGTGTATTAGTTACTTAAAAAAGAAACGTTTTTTATCATTATTTTTTTTTGTTTACTAGAACATTATGGTGAATTTTATTCCCCTGGAAAGAAGCCTGAACGTATTGAATCTCTAGTCTTCGTAAGTTATCGTGAAATAATATAATTATCTTCCTCCCATTAAAATACACGTAACAAACTACTTTCCTATGAACAAATAGAATACCTTAATAAGTATTCAAACATCTGTAAAGGATTTAAACGTCTGCAATATACAAATTACCTTCGGAATGAAAAAGAGCGCAATGTACTTTCGGAGTGAAAAAGTTCAAAACCATACCAGGCATCAATTTCAGAATGACACATACATGATATAACAGAAATTTTACTACCACAACAAAATAGTTAAACTTATCCCGCTAAAAAAAGTAGCACGTAAATAACAAAACACTCCAACCTTAAACGCATACACACAACCAAATTCCAGTGTTCGTATCATCTACCACGTGTCCATTCGTAAACAAGGCACCATTAATACCTTGTTGGGGGCTCGCTTGAGTTTCACACGTTGCGCCTCCATTCACCTCGCTCGAGCAGAAGAAAGTGAGGACGGCCCACGAATAAATAACTCAGTGTCGACAACGCTCACCAGAGCGCAGGGACGACGCCTCAAGTCACCAGATGCAGCTCCCGACAGCAGGCCACAGTCGGCTCAAGAGCGCATTTGAACGCGTGTGGACACCACGCCATTCATCCAGTCCGTTACCTCTTTATCATAAAATAAACATTTCCTTCTCAAAAATATATAGCATTCTATTTTTTTATTTTTTTTATTTTTTATTTTTTTTAAATTTTGAATAAACGATGTTTTGACTATTCTTGACTCCCTTGCCGGGAATCCAACCCAGATCTCCCAGTGCAGTGTTTGAACAGTCAAAACATCATGTCCAACTACCTCTCACAGGACACTCGAGAGCTAAAGTACATTCCGAAAACGAAGAAATCCATAGCGTAAAGTACTTCAATACGCCAACAAACGCTTTTAGAGTGCTCACCAACATTTTCCCCTACGTTTTCCACTTTTCGCTGCCTCATATCTAACAGAATTTGATTCAAGAGGAAGGTTCCAGGATGCTTACGAGAATAAAAATGGAATTAAATTACAAGAAAACACGTTTGGAGTTTTCTTCTTTGACCGAGACATTGGACCTTAGCACGTTATGACTACTGATAATCGGCAAAAGTTGACATCTCTGCGTCGCGAATATTAAACATGCATTAAGAACAAGTGTAACTCTGTGTTCGCTTCCCATCATTTGTCCGCCGCATCACATATTCCTTCCTTCCCTCTGGATACCCTCCTGTCGTGAGCAACGTTTGAACGCGACAACCCACTTCCCAGTACGCTTTGGCTTATCGGCTGTTTCACTCTATACTATTTGATCCCATTGTTTTTGACAATCGCACAGAACGTCACTGAATTCAAATGAAACGTTTTTTTTCTAAATATACCATTTGAAGTCGCTGTCTTTCTGCACAATTGGCAAAACCAATGTGCCCAAATTGTATGGATTGAAGTGGTACAAAAGGGCGATCAACGTAATCGTTTTGCCAGCAGCGCGTTCCAGTTGGGCCCGAGGGCGGACTCACCCCGCGGGCTCCGCAGCGTCGGCGGGCGGCGGGCGGGCGGCGGTGGGCGCGGGCGAGGGCGATGGCGCGGGCGGCGGCGGCGGCGGCGGCGGCACGTCGCCCTCCAACACCTCCCCGCGGCGCGCTTCGCACTCCGCGTCTGCGCGCACACACACACGCACACATCAAATCCCCGGCTAAGGAAACGTGCTTCCCTTCGCAACGACTGCATCCCCTTTGGACGGCCAGGCGGAAGAGCTCGCCCTATGGCCTCAGCCTCGCCATTAATACAGGCGCATCATCGTCATTATTATTATTATTATTATTATTATTATTATTATTATTATTATTATTATTATTGTTGTTGTTGTTGTAACAATGGGAACTAAGGAAAAGAGACAGAGCAATTAATGAGCCTACAAATGGATTTTTTGAGAAGAAGTTGTGGAGGTAAAATGGAACACATAAGAAACGAAGAAATTCTTAAGCGAATGAAAATCAATTATAGATGAATTGGAAACACGAAGGCTGGAATGGTTCGGTCACGTGAAAAGGCTTGATCTGGGAGATGGCCCAGAATGGTATGCGAGTGGTTTCCTTTAGAAAGATGAAAAAGAGGTACACCCAGAGAGGAATGGCAGAATCAGATTTTTAACGATATGCAAAGAAGAGGACTAGAAGAGAATGGCTGGAACGATAGAGTGGTATGGAGATTGGGATGCGAGAAACGGCCACAAGAGCGGTAAAACACTCGCAAGAAGAAGAAGAAGAATTACTGTAGCATGCACACAGAAACTCGGAAGAGTAATATGGCCTTATGGCAGTGGCGGATCCAAGGGGAGGGTATGAGGGCCATGGTTTTCAAGGAACATGAAACATGCACGTTCTCTCAAACGTCCTTCACCCTATCCAACAACACAATTTAATCAAAAACGATTGAGCCATTTTTTTTAAATCTGAAAATGTCCCAGGGGCTTCGGGCAAAGTATTAAAATATTGTTTTCAAATTCAAGAGGTCGCGACATCAGCCAGATCAATTGAGAAATATCAATTTGGGAGGAAATCGGCTAAACGGTTTAACCGCTAGTATTGTTCACGGACCGACGGACGATTTGCCGTCATTCAATTTTTCGGTACCAAGGACTCAAAAACCATGAATTATGGCTACACCACGTGATAGAGGAATTTTTCTTTTAAATTTAGAAACTGTATTATTCCACATTTTCGTTACCAGGGCCCAGCAATATGAGTTTTTCTGTCGAAAATTCTCCGCTTTTTCCCGAAGCATAATATAACTATCTCTTCATACGTATTACCTTCTTAATGGCGAGAAAGTAAAAAACTTTCCAAACAATGATTTCAAAAGTTCTGTTTTTTGAGGATGCAATTTCTTAAAAAAAATTTTGGGCCTTCTTTATCATTTTTTGAATTTTTTACTCTTCTGAGTATTCTAGCAAGGATAACTCTGGGAAAACATTTATGAGTACTTCTGGATAAGGTTTGGCAGAACATTTGGGGGGACTTTTGTTAGATCGTTAGGGGAAGCATTGGGTGGACCATCGATTGAACTTTTGAGGAACAACTGGCTACGTTTGGAGGAACATATGGGGAACATATGAGGAAACGTGTGGGGATCAAATGGAGCACGCACGGACGAGGTACATGCCGTAAACGTGTTGTGAACATGCAAATAATTGCGTAACACTTGCGACAACAGCCCCCCTTGTAAATGCAAGAAGTGGAAATGAATTATAGCATAGAAAACCATTTCTATATATTTTGCTTGTTTTGTACAATAAAGTAATGAATGATAATTAAAGTAGAAATTTTAAAGATTTTTTTCTATCTCCTTTGGTCTTGGTTGGCTATTCCAACTTGTCACGTATTTTTGCTTGCTACCATCTATCGCCGTCCAAAGTACATTTTTTGTTGCCATTTAATTAATTTTTCGGTTTTCTAATTGTAGAGCGGAAATGTAATTTTAAGATAATTAAATAACAGTGAAACCTCGTCCAAAATGGTAATTTTCTTTGAAAAAATTGGAGCCGTTTTTAAAAAACTGGCGTTTATGCACAACTGTAAGTTCGAAATTTAAAGCTCTTTCTCGCAGAATTTTTTTTGTTTTCGACAATCTTAATTTGTAGTCATTTTAAGTACTATAACCCACAAATACAATAGAGTTTACCAATTGCTGGAAATGTGCATAAAAACGGCGTGAGAGATCTTTCAAAAACTTACATTTGTGCAATTTTTGAAGAAGAAAAAAAAAGAAACCGAAATTAACTTTACGTCGTATTAAACACTGCAATGACCACTATCCGTTCGAAATGTTTGAAGAAAATCTTGGAGCCGCTTTACAGAAAATGGCGTTTGAGCATTTCTGAAAATGCGGAGATTTGAGTTAGTTTTCACAGAACACGGTAGAGTTTTCGAGAAACTTTATACATTATTTAAAGCACATGTATTCATAAATACAATAATGTGGACAAATTGCCGCTAATATAAATATTAACAACATGAGGGACAAGTGATTTTTTTTTTAATTTTTGAAAAACAAAAAACAGCAATATGTCGAGTTTGTCATCTTATAGAGTACATTTAGCACTATCCCTACCAAAAGTTTGAAGAAATAATTTAGAGTCGTTTTTGAGAAAAACTACTAAAATTTTCAAAAAAATATACATGGTTCAATGAAAGAACTTACTACGGAGGACAAATTTCATTTGAAGGAAAAATCTGTATCTTCAATTCTGTTGTTGAAGTATGGTATGAAGACAACGAAAATATTTTTTTGAAATTTTCAAAAATTCAGATTTAACCGTGAAAATCAGACATATTCCACGTTTATAAGACTATGTTACTCTATTCTTATAAGAAATTTAAAGAAAAAAATGGAGCCGTTTTTGAGAAATTTTCGAAAATGTCCGAGGGGCTTCCTGTAAAGTACCCCCAAATTTTGAAGATTTTTTTTCAAAATCTCAAAGAATCGACTCAAGTCAGATCGACATAGGTTTCTTCGTTGGAAAAATTCCTACACAGTGTTCACAGACACCAGAAGGACAGACGTTTCGAAGAAAAAACTCTCTTTCGGGGCCAGGGGTCCTCAAACGTGTATTTCCGTTGAAATCTCTAAATGAATTTTTCGCAGCATTACATAACTTTCCCTATTTCTCCGTATATACGTACATATACGGGAAAGTAAAAATATTAAAAACTAATTTTTATGATAATATTATTTTGTAGATCAAACATCCTTACAAATTACCTTGATTTTTTTTCTTTTTTTTACGAAAATTACGTAGATCAAACATCCTTACAAATTACCTTGATTTTTTTCTTTTTTTTCACGAAAATTATAATTTTATTTAATGTGTTTTTGACGCATTTTGGAGGAAACTCGTTTGTTTCAAGAACTTTTAGATGTGAAGGAATGCGATCGAAACATTCAAATTATACGAACCGGCTTTCGGCCTCGCAAGTGGGTTGCGCAGAGTGTGGGAACTGTATGGTTTGTACGAAAGAAAAAAAAGTGCGTGATATTCGTTGTTCGCACGAATATGTTTCAAGAAATTGCCTTGAGGAAAGATCACGAAAAGCAGAAATGTTGGCGAGTTGAACAATTGTTGTTTTAACATCGAAACGCCAACAGAATTACATTGAACTTTGATATTTTCAACTTCCTACCCTCATTGCGTGAATCGGACTACGATATTTTTCACCTCAACAATACGATTTCGTGTTATCGATACTAAAATCCATTTTACATTCTCGTATACGTAGGTATATACGGAATACTAAGTATAGAGAATGTTATGTAATACTGCAGAATATTGATTTCGAGATTTCAACGGAAATACGTTTTCGTGTCCCCTGATAACGAAATATTGTTTCTAAGTTTTTGTTTTTTCAAAACGTCCGTCCGTCCGTCCGTTTGTCTATGACCTCCACTAGCGCCTAAACCATACGAAGGATATTTTTTCCAAAATTAATATTCCTCGGTCGATCTGGCTCCACTCGAAGATTTGCGAGTTTGAAAAACATTCTTAATGTTTTGGGACTTTACATGAAGCCCTAGGACATTTTCAACATGTCTCAAAAAAGGCTCTAAATTGTTTCTGTAATTTTTTTAAAAGAATTAAATGCACTTATAAAAATTGGCGAAATGGTAAAATTTACATATAAAAATTACACCAGTCTGTTTTAACTGTAAACTCTGAATTTTCGTAAATCGCAAAAATTTCTACATTTTTCGGCGTCTTCCTACATCTACAAAATTGAAGATATTTTCTTCAACTGAAATTTGTTCCCCATTATTAGTTTCTTCATTAAGTTCATGTGCATAACTTCGAAAATGTTAGTAGTTTTGCACTATATTGTGTAAAATATGTGCAATATTAAAAAATCACAAAAACAATCTCTTAAACTGCTACATTTTTTTCTTTAAACTTATGAAAGAGATAGTGCTAAATATATTGTAATAGATGACATAGAAGCTATTCTGCTGTATTCTGATATTTTTTCGAAAATTACAAAAATGTAATTTTTTTGACACCTCTCTTGCGTTATTAATATTTACATTAACCGCAATTTGTATAAATTATTGCCTTTATGAGTACATTTTCTTCAAAGAATGTCTAATAAAATCGATTGAAAACTCAAATATTTTCTGTCAAAATGAGCAAAATTCCGCATTTTCAGAAACGCTCAAGCGCCATATTTCTCAAAAAACGGCTCCAATTTTTTTCTTCAGACTTATTGTACTGAGTAGTGTTAAATGCATTGTTACAGCCATTTCTCAGTACTCTTTAGTTGTTTTTTAAAATTTTTATTTTTTAAAATATCTCTCGCGCTTTTAGTGTGTTCATTGCTAGCAATTTGTATACATTATTGCATTTGTGAGAGGAAGTGCTTCAAATGACCTCCAATGAAGTTTCTCGAACTCTCAAAATTTTCCTGTGATAAAGAGAATCAAATTTCGCATTTACAGTTACGCTTAAACGCCATTTTCTTAAAAACTATTCCAAATGTTTCAATGAAAACATCCACATAGGACGAGGCTTTACTGTCCTTAAATATTTTGAAAGTAACATATCTACTCTAACATTAGGAAACTAATAATGATAGATAAAGAAAAATTAGAAAATTTCAGAAATATGTAAT